CGGGTCAAAATCGAATGGATCCAATCATCGAATAACACGGGTCAAAATCGAATGGATCCAATTATCGAATTACGCGGGTCAAAATCGAATAGACGCAATTATGGGAAAACATGGGTCAAAATCGAATGGTTGAATATAGCAAATAACACGGATCAAAATCGAATGGATCCAGCCATCGAATAACACGGGTCAAAATCGGATGGATCCAAATATCGAACAACACGGGTCAACTTTCTTTTACTGTTTATCCAACATGGCAGCTATTGAAAACCCACGAGCTTGAATAAATTGGGCTTCCTGTGTAAGCCAACTCTAAGAAAGCCTGGTACAGGATAGAGAGTGTTTTTGTTTCAAGATGGCGGACGGAGTGGATGATGATGTGACTTTACCGAGAGGTAAGTGCAATTATTTTAACTTCATAACACCCGATTATCGTAATGAGCGCATTTAGTACATCTATTATAATCTTGGATGTGAGTAAATGTGGTTTCATACCCTTAATATTTCATCCCTATCCTGTTTCTCGCTTCTAACGTAGTCTTATCTTTTAAAAATCATATAACGTCTAGATTCTTTAGACTTTGATTTTATACACCTTAGTCAAACATTCTGCTAGGAACTTTACGCCTTCTGCAGTACGTAGTTTAAAGATGTTAGCTAGCCTCTAGTTTCTTGTTAGCTTAAGTTTTAACATATTTTTTCATATCGGGCTAATATTATGGAGACCGATATAAAAAAGATGTTAGAGTGCACGCACTAAAACCGTGAACATTAAATAGTACTAATTAGTACTATTTCATACAGAATCCTTTGTTTTCTATTGTTTAATTATCACTACTTAGTGCTAAAAATTAGTATTTGTTTCACGGATTTAGTGTGAGCACTCTAACATGTGAATTACATTATATTAGTTGCATAATTAATGAGTTTTAAGCCCTACTTACAGATACTTTAACAAAATGATGTTTACGAATGGAGAGTAGTTTTCGCTGGCAGATCTTTTGAAAATAGCAGACATCGGAGTACACTCTGTTGCCTTCAAACAATTGTTTCGAGTGGAGGCATTTGGGTCAATACAGGGCATCTTTGAAATTTTTAGGCCATCTTTGAAAATCACTTTTGTGAAAGAGCTTCCTTCAATAAAGATTGGTATCAAATGTATAGAAACTGACCCAAATGTAACAATTGTTTGGAGGTAATAGAGTGTAACTCCGATATCTGCTATTAAATGTTATGGATTTCAGACAGAAAGCATTCATCACGCCATTACTATTTTGTCCTTTTAATTTAGTTTGTCCTTTTAATTTCAAAATAATTTTGATGTATTGAATATTATTAATGTAACATTTTCGTGGTTTGTAATGAAAATGTTTTGAAATCAATTATTTACTCCATTAATTTGTGGTAAACATTATTAGTGAAATAAGTCTGTAGTGTATTTTTTGTTGCAAAGGCACAGCTTCCTCTCAAAATAGCACAGAGAACTGTGAAAGGGACTATTATATTAAAATAGCTAGGCTTTACAATTAAAATAAATTCTACATCGGTTTCTTGTGGATGCTTTGTTCTTGCTGTTTTACAGCTGCTGTTAATAAAATGATCAAGGAGTTGATACCAAATATGAGAGTCTCCAATGATGCCAGAGAGCTGATTCTTGACTGTTGTACAGGTAAATAAATACTGTGAAATATTACTATTATTATAGTACACTCAACAAAATTACTCGACTCTGAATGGTCAAGAGGAGTACAACTATAGCGTTAATTGTACTCCGTAGGATTACCGAATTAAGTCGCTATGGAAACATGGCCAAAACAATCTCAACAGCGGCAAAAAAAAGCTGTAAAAACTAATGAGAACTAACCTTTTTTGTGCATTTCAGTTGCACGATGGACTGAAAATCGGCTGCCAAATAGACAAAGATGAACGGCATCGCTTCGTATTTTTTACTGAAATTTTGTTGAGTGAACTATAAACAAAAAACTGCATGATCTTGATTACCATTTGGAAATTAATAGACACAAGTAATGTTTTGAAAGTTCTTGTAATTGCACTCGCCTTTCCTATACAAATGCAGCACATGCAATAATGCATGGCCACCAAAATGTCCTGTAAAACTTTTCTTAACTAAGCATCTATTTGAGTAACTTTGCTATGTATTTTTCCCCTGTAATAGAATTTATACATCTTGTGTCTTCTGAGGCAAATGATGTTTGTGGTCGTCAAACCAAGAAAACAATATCTCCTGATCATGTTCTTCTTGCACTTGAGGTAGGTAAATTATGACCATGTAATTAATATGCTTGAACTGTAATACCACACTCAATACAAAATAACAATTATTCTAGCCAAATGTTAACTTTAAATGGCCCATACAATGTAATTTTCTCTGAAAATCATTGTTATTAATTRAGAGGAATTTTTTTTCAATAATGAGCAATAATGGCAAAAAGTGCCAAAAACTAGACTTTCCCAATTTTCGTTTTGAGTTAAAACTCAAAATCTTTTTTAAACAGTTAGAAACTGATGTACCATGATAAAATGCCCGTTTTAAGCGGTATTTTCAATTGTACAAAGATGTTTTGCTGCATTTGTGCTAGAATGTTGCTTTGTACAGGCTGTTTTATAGAAAATACATGGGAAATAAGCAAATGAAGGCCTAAACCTCATTTTCGAATAAAAGTTTTGCTTTGGGTTAACACTTTAATTCCACTTTCATCAGTCATCTCCACTTCCAAAGAAGTTAAACTTTCTGAAAAACAAGATTTTAGCCTTGTACAACAGCCTTTCTTCAAGAAAACAGTTTTTGGCGCTCACTGCTTGAATAAGAAAAGAATATTCTCTTTATCACCAAAGACTAATAATATTGGCAAGTCAACAGACACTTGGCTGGCCGACCAGTCACATTGACTGCAGATCACGATCTCCTCCATGTGGCTGGTCATCATGTCCAGCCATTGACCATCTGTTATTTTTACTCATGCACTAACAACCCAGACATACTTTTACCATCTACTAGCAATTCAGAGGCTTAGGAAAAAACTTGGTGGAGTTGGCATTTCATTTGCATTTTGGGACTGTTTTACGGGACATGACATTTCACATCTATTTCGTCCCCTCAGGCATCCTAGACCTCCTATATTTCCTATATTTCCTATAATTTGTATAGGATCCTATAAAGAGCCTATATTTAAAGGAAACCTCCTATATTTCCTATAAATAGAACGACTGCTGATTGATACATTTATATTTTACACTGTTTAGCATATTTGGCGAAGGAAATAAAATGGCCCCCCCCCCTTTTTTTTCTTTTTTTGGTTCTGTTTTTTTTTTATGGCCGATCCCTTGTTACGCCACCGAAAAGCTATCTTAGCTCCTATAAAGTGCTTATATTTTTGGAAACAAAATCCTATATTTTCCTATATTTAGAACTTGCACAGCCTATATTTCCTATCAAATTTGTCTAAAAAGTGGCTGGGATGCCTGTCCCCTTAAAACAGCCCCACTGAATGGCTAATTTTTCACATCGTATGGGATAACATTTTAACACTTGTGCTATTATTTCTTTATACAGGCACTTGGATTTCAAAGTTACATTGAGGAAGTCAAATCCGTTTTAGCAGATTGCAAAACACAAGCAGCAGTAAGTCCTAACTACAGATTATTTTATAAACTAATTGTTCTAACTTATTCTAACCTTTATCCTTTTGCATTTCCCTCATAGAATAAGAGGAGAGCTAGCACAAAGCTGGAACATCTAGTAAGTTATTTGAACATGGATGATACCATTGATGATTTAATTACATATGTGAATTGAATATAAATTAATGGATTTTTACAGCTACATTAGTTTGTTTGTTTGACCATGTAAATGCTCACACCTGAGTAATTAAATTAGGGAATACCTGAAGAAGAACTACTGAGACAACAACAGGAACTTTTCCAGCAGGCTAGAATGCAGCAGGCCCAGGTATGTATTTAAGATTTTTTGACAAGTTATGTTAAATAGATACAGTCAATATTAGAGGCCTCACACTAAATCCGTGAAACAAATACTAATTTTTAGCACTATATAGTGATAATTAAACAATAGGAAACAAAGGATTGTGTATGAAATAGTACTAATTAGTACTATTTAATGTTCACTGTTTTAGTGCGTGCACTCTAGTGCAGTAAATATAAGTACATATATTAGTATTACATATGGACTGAGGATTATCACAAAAATACTTTAGTCTTGTTGATCACATTTCTAATGGCTTATTTGTAATAATTCTAAAGAGTCTTTGGCTGATGAGATGCAAACAAAAAATAAAAACATATAAACAAGATGGCAGCCATGATGACAGGAGGTACAACAATAGTCTTTTCCCCTGGAAACTAAAAATCTTTTTGTAATTCAGATTAGACCAGATTCAATTATTGTTCCTGCCTTCTCACATGGCTGCCATCGCGTGATGGTGCAAAGCCTCTATTGCTCTTTTGTTTCCCTGATTACTTGCCTGTATTCATTGTGACTGATCATACCAAAATATCAACTGCTGCACAATTTGATTTTCTTTCATTTGTGCTTGATTGTTAAATCATAGGCTGAACAAGAAGAACTAATGCAGCTTCAACAAGCACAAGCTTTAGCATTACATCAACAACAGCAGCAGCAACAACAACAAAATCTGACTGCATCACAACAAAACAAAAGTGTCAGCAACCCCCCACCAACTGGACAACCACTGTAAATAAATTGAGATATGAAGAAGAAAGAGAACAAGAAGAAAGAGAAACTATATGTATATAAATTCAGTTTTCATCTCCAGTACCAATACATCCGCTTAGTGTTTTAATATATGTTCAACGTTATGCATTAATTTCCATAGTGCAAGAATGCGAATTTAGATTTAAGGTCGTTTGAACGAAGTATGTCTCTATAGCTGGGGCATAATGTTTTACCATTTCAGACCACGTGCCATTCTCTTGAGAATAAGATTCCTTGCTTGAGTTGTATCCATATGTATGTGTTTTTTCATGCTCAACCTTTATGCAAAGGAATTAGACTCTAGGGAATGACATGTGGTCTGAAATGGGAAAACATTACACCCAAGCTAAAATAAAGAGGTCTGTTATAAAGTTTGGGTTTGTTATAAAGTCTAATATTTGGGGGGGGATCATTAAAAGAATTACGTTCGGGAGGGGACCAAACAAACACTCCCAGTCACAAAGCACTTTTGCAATAAACAGAATGTAAAACTAAAATGAAACAATGAAGCTGCTTCCCCCCCCCCCCCCCCCCCCCCCCCCCACACCACCTCGTCCCTGATGAAAAATGAATGGTCCCTTAATGGCTTTATAAAGGTGTGCCTTTGATATGGCATGAAAATTGCACAGTTCTCAATCCCATTCAATTGCTGTTTTTCACGTGTCGTCATTCCCTGTCTCATGCAGAATGTTTATCAGCTGAATATTGTAAGCTTTCAATATCTTTATTTCTGGTTTACTGCTCATGGTGATCAGCATTTGAACAAAATCGGATCTACAGGCTTATCCAGCAATAACTTTACTAATTTTAACCCAATGTACTTTCTCCCAACTTTAACTCATTTTTGTATATTAAGTATATAAATAGTTTAATAGCCATATCAATGATAGTAAATTTGTTTTATTTCATCATGGATAAAGTGTATTTATTGGTATATGTAATATATACAGTATGAGTGGCCGTGTTGTATCAGATATACAACCACGAGGCGTAGCCGAGTGATTGTATATCTGATACAACACGGACACGAATACTGTATATGACTTATCAAACGTCTAGGTTAGTTCCTTTGTGTTTCACTAAAATTTTCAAAATTAAAGTGAATTTGGCCAAGAAAATCCAACTTAAAGTTTATGCAAACGAACACAGTTTTGTATCAGATTTACAACACTCTTCACGGTCGTGATTTCTGTTGTGTTTTCCTCATGAATTATTCATGAGTTTGATAATTATATATTATATATGTCATACATGACAGTGTAATTTATGCCTAAATCACTCTAAGGTGCTCTAACAAAACATTTTGGACCAGCATTTTGCAAAACAGATTTGCATTTACCCATACATTATTATTTTATTACCAACTGAAAGATCACCAGGGAACTAGTAAACGTGCACAGTTTCATCTTTGCAAAGTAATAAGTCAAATATATAAAATATCTAAATCCTAATGAGCTATTAAAATCACAGGCAGCCCAAGCAATGTATTTGTGGTGTGTATGATATCAATAACAGTAAATGTATGGGACGAAAAAATATGTAATTTTTTACAAAACAAATTGAACATACCTTGCTCCTGTGTTGTTCTGGGTGGTTTTTGTGTCTACTGCATATTAATAAGCAGTAGACACTATGCCATCGCGTTTACCCAGATATTATATACTTCATATCTTATTTAACTAGCGAAAAATATAGTTAAATGACATACGATATAACTAACATAAAGTTCATCCCGGTGTAAGGGTTGTAAGACTTCGGATTACTTTCGGATCCCACGTGCACAGCTGACGGCGCATGGCGAGGATAGCCGATGTTATCCGAAGTCCTGTTCCGAAGTCTGGTCAACTTGGATAACGGATACGTGTGGACGGTGAAAACGATTCGAATACGCTGCGTGTGGACGCAAACATTTTCGTATCCGCAAATTTTTTTTGAATTGGCGTGTTTGTGCTACACGAAGGATGTCAACAGATGTCGCTTCATGAACGATTTTTACAGAACCGATGCGATGTGAAACTGACTCAGATTTTTACAGTGACAATATTTGAGCTCTTTAAAGGGATAACTGAGCTCCGTAAGCAGAATATTAAGCCCTGAATACCTGCAAGTGTATATTCTACATATACATGTGAGGTGGCGGAATGGAGAGCGGCGTTGAATGCGAGGTAGAGAGCTTGTCTTTCGTTGCTGCAAATGTTTTTATCATTATTTTTAGCTTGAAGAAAAAGAAGGAAAAATTGATAAGGCTTGTAGTTTCATTCATTCTTGTTTAGTAAATATGCGACGATTGGGCTCGCCCTTGATTGACAGTTATCGGTTTATGCAATATTTACGGTGGCTCATAACGGAGGCATGCAGCACTGATTTAAACACAAATAGACCCTTTGCATTGAATTCCTAGAGGAATTGTTCTGGGGGACAAAACAATAAGACGTCTTTTCTTTTGCAAAAAAAAAAAAAAAAAAAAAAAAAAA